AAAAAAAAAAAAAAGAACAGGAAGCAGGAGAGTTTAAATGGATTAATGGAATCAAAGGGACACAAGAACCAACCTAGAAGGGGCTCCTACCGGCAAAGCTGAGACAACTTGAACATCAGAAATAAGAGTATTGGCTGAGATCTGTTGACATATAGTAAACCTGAAGGCATGGGCATTAAATGGAATGCAGAGTGCATCTAAATCATGTAGACTAAGAGAAGGTTAAAAAAAAAGTGTTTTGTTGGATTACTGTCTTCTCGATTGCATAGACATAGAAAACAGAAACTAGTAAACACAAATGTCTCAGGAGGAATTTTTCTGTTTCAAGGGAACAGAAGTGGATTGACCCTGTAAGTTATAACCCTGAGGCAGACAGGGCCACATAAAAATATCAAAATACAGTGCAAGTATCTTTGATGATACTCATGTATTAAGAAGACCCATAAAGTTGATGTTTAGTAATTAAGTTTTAATGGATCCCGGCCTTCCAAACTTCCTGAGTCTGGCTTGTGTTTGTCTCTTCTGGCCAGCTTGTGGCACCCTCTGGGGACAAGGCAGGAAATAGGAATTATGTAATTTTGGTGACTCCGTGCAACAGCTAAATGCTCTGATATTTGCAATGTAAAAATGAGAGGTAAAATTTGCACTAATTAAAATTAAAAAAATTTTTTTTTTTACTTAGAACACATTAAACAGCAAATAAAAACCACCATGACAGGCATAGAAAAAGATCACATAAGAAAGGGAAAAGCTTTTTATACGCCTTTAATGACGTTTTTTCTGCTTCATGCACAAGGGGCCCCACAAATTATGCGGTTGACCCCGTTTGTAGTCAATGTGCATCGCCAATGAAGGAGACAGAGGAGGTAGGAATTACTCCTGAGTCCAGGGCCTGAGAAACTGGGAGAATGACAGACTGGGAAGGCGGAGTGGCCTGTGCTTGGGGCAAGGATAATGAGTATGTTTTGGAATATAGGGGGTTTGGGGTGCCACGTGTCCAGAAAGCAGTGGGAGCAGCAGTCCCAGAGCACGAGTGGCTGGCCGTGTGGAGGGAGGTCGGGAGGTGTGAGCAGAGGATTGAGGGTCCGTCAGTTTGTTCTGTCTCTTCATCTTTGCGGTTTCCTGGAACTCGAGGGAACTGAACTGCAAGTGGTGGGGTTGATTGTCAGCCTCCTGTGCCGTACGGGGAAGAGGCCGTTGGGTTTGGCAGGACGGCTGTGTTAAATGTGGGGGCTGAGGGTTCCACTGCCCAGAGCTTCGAAAGGAATGAGAAGGAGTGGAAGGGGCAGCCTACTCCTTCCAAAAGCATGGGTCCGGGAGGAAAGAATTAAGGAGAGAAAGTCAGGAGTGGCTGGGGTAGCAGATGCCAGCATGCCAGACTGACTCGGGGAATGTTAACAAGGATGCATGCGGGGTCCTCAGACGACTTGAAGAAGGATCTCCTGGGGCAGGTTGGGGGGCGGTGGTAATCTGCTGTTCAGAAAACGAACAAACAACAACAAAAGAATGAAGCGGGGGGAGTTGGAGGGGGAGACGAACCATGAGAGATGATGGCCTCTGAAAAACAAACAGGGTTCTAGAGGGGAAGGGGGTGGGAGGATGGGTTAGCCTGGTGATGGGTATTAAAGAGGGCACGCTCTGCATGGAGCACTGGGTGTTATATACAAACAATGAATCATGGAACACTACATCAAAAACTAATGATGTAATGTATGGTGATTAACATAACAATAAAAAATTAAAAAAAAAAAGGAGAACAAAACCCTGAAATTATTCAGAAGGTGGCTAGGATTCAGAACACTGAGCTGGAGCCTGATCCTGTTTAGAGATACATTTTTGTCCTAATGTAGCTGGTTCCTTGCTATGACCATAGGCACAGGGGGTTGAGGATCCGCCCAAGTGCCACAGGCCTCAAGTGCCCAGGCTCCCCAAGGCTGATGGGGTCGGAATGAGTGTGCGAGGCCTTGCAGGTCAGGGAGCCAAGCTTCTGGAACAGGGCAGCTGCAGGGAGAAGCTGGATCACAGGAGCAGGTACTTGGGGTCACACGACATCTGCCTCATTCCAAGCCTTAACCTACATAAATGTGCATGCACCCCTGAACACAGAGCTAGAGGCACCTGGGCTGCCTTGCTGGGGGGGAGCTGTGCTGGACGGTTGAGGTGCCCTCCAACAAGAGATACCTGGAAGGCTTGAATGTGGGCAAACCCCTGGGCACCATCAGGCAGCTCCATTGGGGTCTGACTGTTGCAAGTTAAAGGCTACTACCTCTGAAAGATGTTCGGGTGGTGGGATCCCTCCACACAGGAGGGAGTGCGGGTGGTTTGGGACCTGGCTGCGCTCCACAGGTCTGGAGGGCCCCAGCTGCCCTGGGTGGGCCGATGGGGTGTGTACTGTGCAGGCGGGAGCTGTGCAGGTCCGGGGAGCCAGCACTGGAAACACGGCAGCTGTAGGAAGAGGCTGGGTTCCCTGAGGGAGCTACTGGGGTTATCTGGCAATGCCTAATTCCAAACGCTAGCTACAGAAACACACATAATCCCCCTGAAAGAGAAGCTGGATGAGTCTGGACTGCCTAGTCAGGACGAGGCCCGGTGGGCTGCCCAGGTACCATTCTCTAGAGACATCTGGGAGCCTTGATGACTGGTAAGCCGGGGACCCTAGCAGGCAGCCCGTCCAAATGGGGACTGACTGTTGCCCTTTTAGAGCAGCCGCCTCAGAGAAATTTTGGGGGGTTGGGCTCCCTTCACTCAGGAGGCTGTGCAGGTGGTTTGGGACTGACCTGAGCCCACAGGCTTGGAGGGCCTGGGCTGACCTGGGCAGGCCGACAGCGTGTGTGCTGGGCATGCATGAACCATGTATGTCAGGGGAGCCAGGGACCTGGTACAGGGCAAGTGTCTGGAGATGCCCTACAAAGTGGCTGCAAGCTGTGGGGGCTCAAGGCTCCAAGCTCTCACCTACACAAATGCGCATATTCCCCTGGGGGCAGAGCTGGAGGAATATGGGCTCCCTTGCCAGGGTGGGGCTGCGTGGGAAGGTCAGAGTATCCTCCAATAAGAGACACCTGGGAGCCTTGACTGAGGGCGGAGCCTTGGACCAGGCAGGCAGCTGGTCCAAGCAGGGACCATTTTTAAATGGAGTGTCAGAAATATCTTCGGGATATGAGCTCTCTATACCCTGAAGCCATTCAGTTGGGGGGGTGGGTCCTGCCAGAGTCCCCTGGGCCTGGGTGCCCCCTGCAGCCCACAGCCTGCTAACAAGGTGCGGTGTGTGAGCTGGGACCCTCCATGCGTGGGCAGCACAGGGGAGCCAGGGCCCTGGAACAGAACTCTGTCGGGTGAGGCCTGCTTACAGGAAGGGGCTTCAGGGACTACATAGCATCTGCCTAACTCCACGCCTTCACCTACACAAGTGTGCATATTTCCTCGGGGGTGGAGCTGAAGGCATGTGGGCCGCTTTGTCAGGGTGGGGCCCCATATGGGCTGGTAGGGAACACTCCAGTGACAGACACCTGGGAGCCTTGCTTTCTGCAGGAGCCCTAACCATATCAGGTAGCCATTCTGAGTGGGGACTGATTGGTGCTGGTATAAAGCTACTACTAGAAAAGATTTTCAGGGAGTGGGCACTCTCTATACCCAGGGATATGCAGGCAACATGGATGGCTCAGGAACTACATAGAAGTAGCCCATCAGCCCCGCCCCTCAGGCCTCAGCAGCCTTACATCACCTTCCTTTTTGGGACTGGTCTGAACCCAAAAGGCCCGGAGGTCCCAGCAGCCAAAGGTTGCCTGGCCTAGGGCAGGCTGTGCAGGTGCCACAGTGCAGGTCAGAGGAGCGAGGGACCTGCACCAGGCAACTGTAAGGAGAGCCTGGGTCATAGAAGCGGGCTACTGGGGTTACTTGGTGTCTGCCTAATGCCAAGCCCTAAATGACACAAATGCCCATAATCTTCCTCAAGGCAGAGCTGGAGGCATCTATCTGGACTGCCTTTCCAGGGTGGGGCTGTACTGGACCATTGGGCTACCCTCCAGTAAGAGACACCTGGGAGCTTTGATTGCAGGTGAACCCTGGGACCCCATTAGACAGCAAGTCCAAATGGGGTCCTTTTTTTTTTTTTTAAGATTTTATTTATTTATTTGACAGAGAGAGACACAGCGAGAGAGGGAACACAAGCAGGGGGAGTGGGAGAGGGAGAAGCAGGCTTCCCGCTGAGCAAGTAGCCTGATGCGGGGCTCGATCCCAGGACTCCAGGATCATGACCCGAGCCGAAGGCAGTCGCTTAACCAACTGAGCCACCCAGGCGCCCAATAAATAAAATCTTTAAAAAAAAATGTTAAAAAAAATTTACCTGGGTGGGCAGTTCTTTTTCCTTGTCAGTTGATGACTTTTTGGGTCACTTTTAGGTGATAGAAAGCTCTATAGTCACTTTAACACAGTCACTTTAATTCAAGTCATAATTAAAACTGCCTATTCCCAGTAATAAAAACATTGAACTCTTATGAGAGAGAAAGCTTCTTTTATCTTTAGCAGGTTGGGTTCCTTACTTCAGGGAAGTGTGTGGTCTGTTTCCATTTCCTTTTTACCTCCTCTTCCTGCACCTGCTGCCATTATGGGCCCATCTGAGACTGGATTTCAAGAAGGATAGAGTGGAAAGGGGGTTCAGGAAGGGACTTACTTGTTTGGAACAGTTGAAAGCTCAGTTTGGGTTCCCTGGGACTGGCTGAGGTTTAAAGCTGATTTCCTTCTCCTATGGACACTTTCATGAGTTCTTTGTAAGCTTTTCTGTTGAAATTCTCAGACTGTAAGTCCATGATGTAGGCAATGAATTTAATTTTTCCAGCTTTTGATGGTTACTTTTATGTGTCAACTTGACTGGGACATGGGAATGCCCAGATATTTGGATAAACATTATTCTGGTTGTGTCAGTGAGGGTTTTTCTGAATGAGGTTAACATTTGAATTGGTAGACTGAGTAAAGCAGATTGCCCTCTCCAATGTGGGTGAGGTTCATCCAATCCAGTGAAGTCCTGAATGGAATAAGAAGGCTGAGTGAGAAAGAATTCTCTCTCTGCTTCACTGTTTTCAAGGTGGGATATCAGTCTTCTCTTGCCTTCAGACTCAGACTGGAACTTATACCATTGCTCTCCTGGGTCTCTAGTTTGCCAAGTAAAGATCCTGGGACTTCTTAGTCTCCATAATCCCACGAGCCAATTCCTTATTATCTATCTATTGATCCATCTCTAACTCCCAGACTAATACAGATTTTGGTACTGAGAGTGGTTCTAGAGGAACAGAATTTTAAGGATGAATTTTCTGAATTGGTTTGGGGGTTTCTGGAATTGGTTCTCTAATCTAATTAGGTTTAAACATGCTAATGACTCTATTTCCTATAGTAAAGAGGACACTGATAATCCATGGCATAATTTGCCAATAAAGATGTGCAAAATATCATTATTGGACATTCTTAATCAACCACTAATAAACAAGGAGTTGGTTAACTGTGTATTTAGTATTTTCTAACATTTTTTGAAAAATAACAAATCTAATGAGGTTGGCTGGTTGCTTCTAATGTTGCTGGACAAAGTGTCAAAAGAAAAAGATGAGCTCAGGGATTTGAATTCCCAGCTCAAACGCCACATAAATCACCTGAAAGCTTCTATGTGTACCCTGAAGGAGACTCTTATCTACTATAGCTGAAGAGTTGAAATTGCTGAAAATCAAATGCAGAATCTTATCCTGCAATTGGCTGAATTATAATGTAAATTGAACACCCAGCCTTGCAGGGTATTAAAGTAAGGGCATAGATTGGGAAAGAATGGGATCCTGTAGGTTGAATTGGAGGTGTGTAGGAAGTTCCTGATGAAGCTGGGGACCTTGAGCCCCCAAATGTTGATGAATCTTTTTGCCTGTGGAAGAGGACTCCCTACCCCCAGTAGAAGCTGGCTTCCCACCCCTAGTGATAGTGATACCCTACTGAGAGAATTAACTCTGCATTGGCTGAGGAAGCTATAATGGCCACCCCTGAGGCAGTTGCCATGCAAGACAATGGTGAGTTTCTCAGGCCCCACAGCCACCTCCCATCTTGGCTTCTAGACCTATAACTAGACTCAAATCCCAGCAGTCCCTAAAGGTGAGGTACCAAGTGTGACCCATGAGGTGATGCACTACACTCCAAAAGACTACTTGAGTTTTCTAATTTGTGTAGACAGAAATCTGGGGAACATGTGGGAATGGATATTGAGGGTGTGTGGTAATAGTGGGAGGAACATTAATTTGGATCATGTTGAATTTATTGATATAGGTTCACTAAGCAGAGATTCTGCATTTATGCTGCAAGCTCAAGGAGTTAGGAAGGGCTCTAACAATTTGTTTGGTTAACATAAACATGGACCAAAAGGTGGCTCACAGTGAGCAAAAGTGGTGGCACTCAGCTGCCAAAGGCAAGGTGAGTGTAGTTACTGCAGTGGACAGCAGAGTCAAAGCAGCAATCAAGAATAGTCCAACTCAGACTGACCTATGGCGTTGGCTAGTTGCTCATGGTGTTCCTAGAGGTGAAAGTAGACAGGAAGCCTACGAAATTTTTACTTGGTCTGTATAAGAAAAGTTCCAAGTCAAGTGAACAAGTTTAACCTGAATCATAAAAACAGAGTCCTAGCTCCTCAATCAATTCCCAAACTTGAGCCAGTTTATGAACCCAGACCCCCCTGAATGAAGGGGAGGCTAGTTCTCCTTTAGGAAGGACCCTGGTACACACCCAAAAATGTACACTGTTAATCTTCCTCCCAGTCTTCCCCAAAGGGATTTATAGCCTTTAGAAGGGCAACTGTGCACTGGGGAAAAGGAAATAATCAGAGCTGTTGGGGACTACTGGACATGACTCTGAATTGACATTAACTCCAGGAGACCCAAAACATCACTGTGGTCCACCAGTCAAGGACAGGGAGTTATGGAGGTCAGGTGATTTTTTTTTTTTAAAGATTTTATTTATTTATTTGTCAGAGAGAGGGAGAGAGAGAGTGCAAGCACAAGCAGGGGGAGCGGCAGGCAGCGGGAGAAGCAGGCTTCCTGCTGAGCAGGGAGCCCGATATGGGGCTTGATCCCAGGACCCTGGGATCATGACCTGAGCCGAAGGCAGCTGCTTAACCGACTGAGCCACCCAGGCAGCCCTGGAGGTCAGGTGATTTAATGGAGTTTTAATTTAGATTTGATTCATAGTGGGCCCACTGGGACCTTGACCACATCCTGTGTTTATTTCCCTTGTTTTAGAATGAATAGTAGGAAAATAGTAAATCAAAAACAATACCAAGTTCCTGGAGGGATTGCAGAGGTTAGTGCTACCATAAAGGACTTGAAAGAAGCAGGGGTGGTGATTCCCACTATATCCCCATTTTACTCACCTATTTGACCTATTTGGAAGACAGACGGATCTTGGAGAATGACAGTGGATTATGGATTATCATAAACTTAACCAGGTTGTGACTCCAGGTGCACCTGCTGTACCAGACAGGGTTTCATTGCTTGAGCAAACCAGCCCATCCCTGGTACCTAGTGTGCAGCTATTGATTTTCCCATTGCTTTTTTCTCAATACCTGCCAGTAAAGATCACCAAAGCAGTTTGCTTTTGCCTGGGAAGGCCAGCAGTACACCTTCACTGTCCTACCTCAAGGGTATATCAACTCTCTAGCCCTGTATCATAATTTAATTCACAGGCATCTTGATCACCTTTCTCTTCTATAAGGTATCATACTGATCCATTACACTGATGACATTATGCTAATTGGATCTAGTGAACAAGAAGTAGCAACTACTCTAGACTTATTGGTCAAATATATGTGTGTCAGAGGGTGGGAAATAAATCTGATTAAAATTCAGGGGCCTTCTTTTTTATTGTTATGTTAATCACCATACATTACATCATTAGTTTTTGATGTAATGTTCCATGATTCATTGTTTGTGCATAACACCCAGTGCTCCACGCAGAACGTGCCCTCTTTAATACCCATCACCAGGCTAACCCATCCCCCCACCCCCTCCCCTCTAGAACCCTCAGTTTGTTTTTCAGAGTCCATCATCTCTCATGGTTCGTCTCCCCCTCCAAAAATTCAGGGGCCTTCTATCTCAGTGAAATTTCTAGGGGTCCAGTTGTGTAGGACATGTTGAGATATCTTTTCCAAGGCATCTGGCCTTTCCTACAACCAAAAATGTGGCATAATACCTTGTGGGCCTCTTTGGATTTTAGAGGCAACATATTCCTCATTTGGGTGTGTTACTCTAGCCCATTTACAGGGGCCCAAAAAGCTGCTAGTCATGAGTGGGGCCCAGACAAGAGAAAGCTCTACAACAGGGCCAGGCTGCTGTGCAAACTGCTCTGCTGCTTGGGCCATATGCTTTTGCAGATCCAGTGGGGCTTAAAACCGTCAGCGGCAGATAGAGGCTATTTGGAACTTTTTACATGCCCCTGCAGGTGAATCATAGCACAGGCCCTTAGGATTTTGGAACAAAGTTCTGGCATCTTCAGTAGATAACTACATTCCTTTTGAGAAGCAGCTCTTGGCCTGCTCCTGGGCCTTAATAGAGATAAAATGCTTAACTATGGGCAACAAACTTACCACGCGGCTGAGCTGCCAATCATGAACTGGGTGTTATCTGACACACCAAGCCATAAAGTTGGACACAACATACTCCATCCTCAAATGGAAGTGGCATATATATATTTGTGATTGGGCCTGAGCCGGCCCGGAAGACACAAGTAAGTTATATGAGGAAGTAGCCCAAACGTCCATGATCCCTACTCTTGCTACATTGACTTTTCCTGTTCAGCCTGCACCCTTGGCCTCATGGGGAGTTCCCTATGATCAGAAGAAGAGAAGATTTGGGCC